CGACGACGACGACGACGACGATGACTTTATTCCGTCCTTATGAACTCCTCTGAATAGTTATTATCATCTTCTTGATTTTCAAGTATGTCTTCTGTGCATATTCATTGAATCCTACTTCAAAAGAGGTGCCTTACTAAGTCCCTTTCAAGTAGATATATCTACATGATGAACATTGAGAGTTTATCAGAAGATTTAATCTAACATATACCACGTCATAGATGGTATGCTGATGACATTGTAATCATAAGTGATAATCTTTGTTGTACCACTTCAATTTTAAATTGAATGAATGAAGTTCAAAACAACATATCACTTACATCTGTAGAAGAGAAGGATAATTATTTATCTTTCCTAAATATAACGCTCAATCAATCAATCGCATGATGGATCAATACAACCATCTATGTATAGAAAACCACTGCTTCTCACTTGTTCAGTACAGAAGAGCATTAATGAGCTGCCTGTTTTAAATACATCTATAAAACGTGTTTGTGGCGAATCCTTAAGTTTTTAGATGCACAAAAGACTTAAAAGTGTAAACCACCATTCTGAGTTCAAAAACAATTTGTCAGTTCATCAAAGCTTCTATGGTAAAATCTGTTTTATGATACCACGGCAGGTGTATTTACTATTACCCACCTTCTTTGATGTTTTGATCTCCATTGTCACTATGACCTTTGTCGTGGGCTTTAAACCTGACCTATATCTATTCTCTATGACCCTCAACTCTTTATTATTTTCATGTATATATATATATATATTCCAATGGCAATTATGTTTGTGTGATTAGACTGTTTGGAATGTGTTGCGCGAATACAAAACTACACGATTCAGATAAATTACGTCTTCTTATTGTTTTGTCGATATATTAGAATCACAATTTCCACATATCTTCGGCACTGGTCTAGGTTCGTCCTCTGTAGTGTGCTTCTGTAATGAGAGCTGGCTGCAAGCGAAAACTGTAGACAATAATTTACGTCGATGTTCACGTCGCAAATCAGGATCATGAGGAAAATAATAACAAGGCTAAACTTTGAGAAGATCACCAGCCAATCACAGAGGAGTTAAAGTATGGAAGTCTGATTTGCAAATAAATGGCTTAACTTTCTAAGAAACGGTTACAAAGAGATAACAGAATAACCTTCAGCAAGAAAACAACCAATCAGAAGACATTGCTTCCTCGCTAGCTATAACGCTAACGATAATACACATAAAAATTTATAAATACCTCTTGATTTTCTCAATAAACAATCTGTTGCCTGACCCTTGTCTTCTGTCGTTACATGTTTCGGATATTATGTTTCATGAGCATTGGTAATATTATCTCTTCGCCATTAAATTCATATCTCCGCTATTCTTACAGATGATGTAAATATTTAAATCCGTATCTACATACTACTTATGAATCTTGTCAGTAGCACACACCAAAATATATAGTGATCTGAATTCTCCCATTTTCAAAAGGCGAAATTGGGTTAGGCTCTTATCTTGAGGTGAGTGATTTACAGAGTGAGAACCTGTTTCTAACCATGATGAGTTCACCCAAGTTACTGGCCAGAATTCAGTTGTCTTAACTGAGATAAAACTAGGTAACGCCACTGATGAAACAAATGAATGAAACGTCTGCGGTGTCTGTTTCGACCACTTCGATATGGCTAGCAAACACTACTAGTGTTGACATGATTACTTACCAACTACTTAAATTGAAATCAGTAGTATATACTTATCATACAATTCGTCAAATTCGTCTTCTTAGAATATTGTTACTCAAAACAATCACGTTAATCAATCAATAAATAAGGATATGTGTATCTGTGTATATCTACCAATTTGACTGCTCCTGTGGAGCCAGTTAGTTATATAGCCCGTACAATTAGGCGTGTTTCTCCTCGAATTTCCGAACATCATCACCTTGTGTGGTTAAGTAAAAGAAAAACAAAATCTATTCACATAGCGTTATTCTATATCATCTTGTAGATACAGAACACAAGATTGATTGATGTTAACGAGGTGACTTTCAAAGTCATCTATCACACACCAACTAATCTTAACTTCACTTTAAGAGGTTCGTCTACTAAATATTACTGAGACTGGATGTTAGGATCTACATTAACAAACCTAACTTATGTATCTCTAAATGAAGCTAGTTTACGTTTTAATGATCCTTATTTGATTGTGCAAAATTTCCTTAATTTTATTTGACATTCTATTCACTCATACATTTTTATGCTTGTTGTAAGTTATGTATCTTTCGTGAACTGTAATTCCATTGTGATCTTACTTAACAAATCGATAGCACTTAAAAACACTGAAAGCTTGTTAATGGCGACTATTCGAGAATATCCTGTGTACATAATTATAAAGCCAAAAGAGGAATCTATCCAAAATGTTTTGTATTTTCTAGATGTCTGAATAATTATTTTCGTTATATTCAAAATAAATAAGACTTGAATTTCCCTAATAGGCGTATATTAGTAAATTTTTCAATATATTGTACAGTTTCACTCAACTGTGATTGATATGCGTTTTGATTTACATTATGCTTTAAACATTAACAGACAGTGAGATTTTAGAATAAATTTATACCCAATTCACCGATCATGCCATCGACGCCATCTATATTTAACTGAGAGTTCTCTAAATCCACTATGGGTAAAATTTATTTTGATAAAGTCTCACAGTGTTGTTATACAGGAATATTTACTGATGTGACCACGTTTCAAACACAATTCATTACCGCTCATAATAATCATAATATCAAGATACTACTCACACACAACTTTCTAACTTCGTTTTTATAATTCCATCATTATTTTCCATCGCTTGATTTGATGATTGGTAGTAGTATTTTCCATATTTCCGGAATGAGTGATAAGTCATTCCTACTGCATATGTTGAGTGTAGACTCGACAAACCACCATTCAGTAATCAACCTCTCTCTCTCTTTCTCTCTCCACCTACCTAGATTACTTCTTAGAATTTTAACCCTCTGCGTTCCACCACATAGTGTAGTTGTGTGTTAATGCATGCAGTGCAATATAGTGCTGAGCTTTTTTCGAAATTACTTATCTTCTCGGATGGGGTCAACCATTCTTAACTTAGCTAAATTCTTATGTTCTGACAACCTGATTACCCCCCCTCCTGATCTAACTAGTTTGACCTATGTAGTTGACATTAAACTCACAGTCATTGCAAGGTATTTTGGTATATTACATAATTTTGTCTAATTGGGTTAACCTGCAGAGTCCTTTAACCCAACAGAGCTTGTCCCTGAGTGTGTTTTTAGGTTTAAATGCCACTCTAATTGCTGCTTTATTAAGAATCCTACGTAGGGTTTCAAATATCCCCTCTTTATATGGTATAACTGTGGATGACTTATATTCTCTCTTATTTATGTTATTATTACTAGTTTCACATTTATTTTTATTTTGTTTTTGGCCTTTAATGATGTGAATTAATGTGAATTCTATTCCCTCCACTAGTGAGTTTATGTGTGTCAAGAAGCTAGAGAGAAATATGTTCTGTTTTTAACACTGTGAAAGTGTCATCCACATATCTTCACCATATTTTTTGGAGTAGGAGTAAACGTATTAAGAGCTATATTTCCCCAGCTGTCATTCATAAAGGTATCTATTACGATAGGGGATATTGGTGACCCATTCCATTGCTACACCTTTTGTTTGTCTATATATATATATTGCTTAGGAATTTAAAGATAGTAGATGTGAGACAGCATAACTGAATCCCTAAAATAATTTCCTCAATGGGCAGCTTCGTCCTATGACTGAGTTCAGGATCTGCAGTTAGTTCTGTTTTAACTGCTACTAAGGCTGCCATATTGATTGGTGTGCTAGTATAAAGACTAGTTATATCAAAACTAACCATTTTTTCATCATTCTCTAGTTGAATGTCATTTAGTTTATTTTTCATCTCATTTGTGAATTAGTTTGTGTAGAGTTTGAACGGTTTCTAATGGGGCATAGTATTAGAGCTAAGCGTTTTGATAATTCATAAGTAGCGGTATTTCTAAAATCTACTTATTGGTCGTATGGGGGGTAACCTGGCTTATGTATTGTAAAAATAGTGCCATACATTCACCTGGCATTACTAGTTTTAGGCATTAAATTTATAAACCATTTAGACTCATTTATATGGTGCTAGTCATACTGAAATCATGAATTGGTAGGAATTAGAATCCATGGATTAACTACTGACGAGTAGGATCCCAATGGCTGATGAATGGTCTACAAGCTTTCCTTGTGTAACTAGAAAGTCATGATGGGTTCGATCCCTTTCGAGTGGGCGCGAACTGGCAAAAATTCTATAAAACCAGGACGAAACAGCTATGTCCTGTCCAGTGATACTTCCTTGTTTTCGATCGATCTTCAATGATTCCCATAAAACTGATATCAATGATCCTTGATGAAACATAAAATAAAAAAGGTCGTAGAATATTTCAATCCAGGGGGTTAAAAATTTTTTATTTATTCAACTTTTTTTCTCTTTTCATCTGGTTAAACAGAAGAGACGAAGAATAAAACTCAAGACAGAGGGAGTGTCACAGACAGAGGAACACACATTCAACAGTCAGGTGGAGCGGAGGGGGAGGTTGGAGACAACACAACATGTTAGAAAAAGAAGACAAAGAATAACAACAAAGACAAGCGGAGTGAAAGATATACAAACAAGAGTAAAGAGTGAAAATTGAAGAGAACAGAGGCGATAAGGCTTCTCTGAAGGGTACGGGGAGTAAGCGACAAAATGAAGATTCACAAGAACAAAAAACACACAAACAAAAAACAATGTAGAGGAATTTAGTTGAAATGCTTCACAGTGAGTGTTCCACAGAATGTTTTTGAAAGCCTTGAAGAAAGTATAGAGAGAAGAAATTTAATTTAAATTCGGAAGAACAGTTTGGTTTATGTGTGTGTGTGTGTATCTGTGTGTTCGATTATAAATAGTATGTTTACATCTCTCTCTCTCTCTCTGTCTGTCTGTCTCTAGAAGAACATCTCATGCGGTCGATCGTGTTTACTAATAGAGAATAATGATCTCAAGTAACGAATTAACATTTGTGAATCACTGTGTGATTTAATCGCTTTCCTCACTTCTTCATCTATAAAACGTTGGTCAGATTTCTTTTCCTCACTTGGTTTATAGACAGGCTTTTGACTTTCAACACCATGTTCAAGAATATCTTCAAGACGTTTCTGATTGTTTACTTTACGTGATTTACGTGAGATGGGGCTGGTAGATCTTGCAAAGTATTCTTTTTGATGTATTCTATTGGGGAGGGATAACTGTGAAGGAGAATAAGAAGTACAAGGAAGAAAAGAGTTAGAGAAATGTTATTTCATAATAATGATTACTAAAATTTGTGGATTTTCGACAACTCGAATTCCCTCCCTCACCCTCCGCCTCACCCCCCCCCACCTAATTTTATGACGTCAAAAAATAATCTTAATGATATTAGTGTTATGCAGACCTGTAGTGAGAGCTGTTTGCAAGCCAAAATTGTTAACAACAATTCACGTCAATGTTTACGTCCCAAATCTCGGTCATGAGAAAAAGACAAACAAGAACAAGGATTAACTCAACAACCAATCCTAGCAGACTTTACTTGGGCGGATACGATTATAAGATATATCAACGGACTGTTGAAGAAACGTCAACAAAGAGAGAATGGAACAGAACTCACTAGTGACTTTCCCTATTCAGGTAGGTAGTTACCTGGGTGGATTCTAGTGAGAAGTCGTGACCAATAGGGTTTAGCAGGTCGGGGGTGTGAGGACAAATACTCACCACGGAAGACATTGGCTAGGGGTCGTGCCATGTCGTGAATTGGCAGAAGTTAGAATTCCCGGACTGGCCATTGGATCGGGGGTCCCAGTGGCTCAAAGGTCTACGAGCTCGCCTCGTAACCAGAAGGTTCTGGGCACGAACCCCGGTGGGTACGTACTACCGAAGAGCCCCAAACTGAGCTGACGAAACAGCTGTCCAGTACTCCCTGCAGGTTTTCCAATGGTTCTCTAACTAATGTCAGCTTATGATGAAATCCTGTAACCAATCAAATCCCTACAAACAAATACTTGAATAAGAATGACTTTCAGCAGGAAAACAACCAATCAGAAGCCATTGTCTCTTTGCTAATAATAACTAATAATAATGTACACAAAAATCTATAAATATCTCCTGATTTTCTCAATAAATGATCTATTACCTAACCCTTGTCTTCTATCATTACAGACCTAATGTTTCGAAAATACTACACTTATCTTTACAGTACAGTGCTGTTTGTATTTCTCTCCCTTCCTTAGTCATGACCTTGAAACCCTATTGGTTGTTGACTGTTTTAATCTATCAATGTAATTAGTATCTCTCAAGGCTATTTATAGTTAATATGCATACACGCAATTGCTGTCACCCCTTTTAGCTATTGGTTGGAGACATTAAACGCTGTCTACGTCAACGGCCTGTCTTCTTGCATCCCGGGTTCGATGGTATCATGTCGTATCGTGTCGCGGCTGTTGCTGCTAACGGTGATTAGGACACTAGGCTCAAACAAATCTACAAGGGGTAGAAAGTTCGTTAGCTCAAACCACCAAGTGTATTAATGGTCATAACATTAATGATGTCATATACGATCCATCAATCTCTACTTCCTTCAAAGTTCTAACAATACAACAACAAATAAATAACCACTGAAGGATTGTCACGGTTGATTTCAAGAGGTACGTGACCACCTTGAACACATTCTCTTTATTGGATAACGAGACCAACCACAATTCTTATTATAGTATATTATAAGCTCCCTATGAACACTGTTCATGAAGTGAGATGCAAATTTCCCCCTGATCTCGTTTTCAAGTATTGTTTGAACAATTTGTTCACAGCTTGTTAGGCTTGTTATGGTTACGATTAGGGTCAGGATCAAGGTTAGGATTAAGATTAGTTGTCGATCCTCTTACTACTGGAACCAATACTAATTTAATCGACCTCTTTTGGAGAGCAAGACTGAAAACCACAGGATAATAGCGTTAAACAGGTCACAAAAAGTACTGCCCGCTTCAGTCACCTAGATGAATATATGTATAGTGACAGGTTTAACCAAGAAACTGATACTGCTCATCACCTGACACCGAGCACTTCGGTTCAATCAATCGACGGGAAAACAACAACAATTAATATGACCCGTTGCACAAGAGATGGCTCTCGTGGCCGTTCAAGTGGTCCAGTGGATAACGCTTTGGCGTTTGAAACTATGCGGGCACTGGGTTCGAGCCTCAGTGGGAACACCACTCACTGGGGAATGCAGGTACATCCAGTTAGCTGACGAGTCCGAAATAGGACAAAATACGCATTCTCATGGATTCCACTGCTAGTCACCATCCACCAACTGCTCATCATAGTTGGGAGGTCATTTGTAGAGTTATGTCAGGGAAAACATATCGTGTTTACATGTGTTTTCATCATGTAAACACACCAGTGTATTTCTTGATTGGTTGACTCAGGGTCAACCTTGCGTCCTCTCCCCATGGATAATTATAGTTCAACTCTACTATTTCAAGATTTACAGGCTGTCCAAGAAACAGTCAATACACTTATTGTAGACATCTCTCGGTATTGATTCAAATCTGTCATGACTTAGTTAAGGAATGTGAATATTCACTAGAAGTCAATAGAAATACCACTGCTGTCTGTTGTCAGTCAACAATCCAACGTATGAGTTATGCAATTGACGAAGACATAGATATATTAGTTCAGAGTGGAGGAGTAACTGCGAAATTTTGTATGACAGAATTCCACACTGTATATGATCTTATGTACAATGTTTTAGATAACCTTCAACCCTGACTTATGCGTGTCCAAACCAAGTTCACTCTTAACAGTTCAAAAAGAAAATTTGACATTGGATATATTAATATTATTGTTCCCTTGGGTCCCCCTTGGAACATAGGGCTTCAACTGTACCTCTCCACTTGCTTCTGCTGTACTTTTCACCTGCATCCATGTTAGTTAGTCCATACTGTTTCAACTCCTCTTCACACCATCTCCTCCATGTCACCCTTACACCGACGTCCAATTCGCCGCTTCCCTTTCGTCCTGGTTCCACTAGAGCAATGGCCCGATGTCACCCAGCAGCGGCCTCCTCAACCAGTGTCCAATCAATCGCCATTTTCTCCTGCATATTTGTTGGTTGGCGATTGATTGGTTCTTGTTTTGTATGTTCCTTCCCATAGTTTCTTGTTGGTGATTCTTTCCGGCCCAGCCCGGCCATCTGATCTGACCTTCAGTATAGAGCCAGCGAAGACAGTTGTTGGTTGATAAAGGTCTGCAACAGGCTGTTGGAAATATTCTTTGTGACCCACCCACTAAGTTTCTGATCCGTATAGAAGAGCTGACTGACTTGACGCTGTTTGTATTGAAGATCTGAATTTCATTATTATAAAAGTTCTTTTTGTATTTCTCAATGAATGAAAAAGAGCAAAACGATGTTGTTGTCTCCACAAAAGTTTCGCTATTTAGTGCTGCTATGGGCTTTATCATAATAGTAATATTAAACCAGAATTTTTACAAAATCTTAGCTTATATATAAAAACTTAATTATCATTTTTAACTTGTCAAGTTGGCGGCCAACTGGTAAAAATAACAAAACCATGCGTAGATTGTTGGATATGAAAAGTGGATAAAATCATAAAAGCAGCGTGTGTTTACATAATGAAAGTGCTTATCACATTCGTGTTGATTTTGTCATTTCATGGGAGAGGAGGGTTATTGTAACCAGGTCAAATTCTGTTTTAGTCCATCATTCCTATTCGGTTGAGACTATTTGGGTTCTACCTGATATGAAGTGCTTCTGATGATATGAAAAGTTCTTTGTGATTTATGAAATTTTTCTGGATGATGATTTCAATATTGTCAAAATCAATTCTGTGGAGTGATCACTATGGCTGATGATTTTTTAAGATTTTCTATTTCACAATTTCTCGGTAGTCCAAGAGTTTCTCGGCCGTGTTCATTTCTTCTCACTATCGCGATTTCTCACAAGGTTATTCATGTTTCTTCATGTCAGACTATTCAACACTTAACTATCAAACAGAACTCAGTGTGTGTCCAACTACTTGACATTCTGTAGTCCTAAAATTGAATGTTGTTCACAACAAAGCCTTTTTCAATTACTATCCTTTTGAATCGATCTACGAAAAGTACTGAACAGAAACCAATCAAAATAATTCCCCTTGTATGAAGCCCAACAGTGATGATGCCTATACGAAGAGTCAGAGTCCCCAGAAGCTGACAGAGCGTAAAGATCATCACAAAATTTACAACCCAACCTGTGAAGTGAATTGAACACCATGCGTTATCAATAGTCATCATCAGACTTTTTTTTCCAGACGAATTACATGTTGTCTAAATTTTTACAAATGTGTCATGCTACTCATTAGTAGTAAGAATAAATTAACTAAAATAAAATATAGTTTTCAAGATTATAGAGACCAGGTAACAACATCGTCTCTCACGGTAAACCAACCTATTACACTTTCTATTAAAAGTGGAATATTTATTTACGCTAACAGTTTACTGCATAACATTTTAGCTTGATAAGTTCATGAATCTTTGACCTCCTATGTTTCACTATCGATTCGCGACCGATGAAAATTCGAATATAGCCTACAGATGGCTAGTAAGAATTACTGAGAAGAAACTCTGAGCACATTTGCGCCAAGAACCTATTGCTTAGCACATATGCACACTCGAGTGGAATCCAAATTAGAAAAGACGAGTTGGATGTGTGTCCGAGGGTAACAACATTTAGGAGATCCATGTGAAGGCAAAAGGAAAGCGCCTATGGATAAATGTGCAGTCACCTGTGTAATGGACTGCAGAGTACATAACACAATGGTGATGTTCTATCCAAATCGTATATTCCAATCGGAACCCAAGGGACTAATATAATGATAATTCAGAAAACAATGCCTAGTTCCTGCTGATTGGTTAAGTTGAATTTTCAAGAATTAAATTAGTTTGTAAGGATTCTGTTGGTTCCAGATGAGACCACGGATTGATATCAGTTATAGAGAACAACCATTGAAAACCATCAGGGGAGTATACTGATCAACAAGCAATACGCCACCCACCACAGGGGTTTCCAACTCACGACCTTCCGTTTACAAGGTACGCTCGTATACCATTCACGCACTACTAGGATCCCACTCCTAAAAATAGCCAGCCCATGAATTCTAACTTTTACCAATTCGTGATGCATTTAGTGCGACCACCACATATCTAGTATTGGTAT